AAAAATTAAATAGTAAATAATATATAAATAAAATAATATATATAATATATATATATATATATATATATATATATTTAAAACTATATACATATATATATATATATATTTATATACATATACTTTTCTCTATTTTTAATATTTTTATTATACCTAATATATTTATATCTTAATTATACACCAGATTTTTTAATTTTATTTATTATATAAAATAAAAAAAATAATTGTTTAAATCTTTTATAAATATATATCAATTTTATAATATATTTTATATTTTATCTTTTACATTAATTATTTTATATATATAGTTTTTTTAATATATTTTTTAAATATTAAAAAATAATAATACTTATACATATTTATATTTATCTATATATTAATATTTTTAAACTTAATCAATTAAAATTTTTATTTATAATAAATTAATTTCTATATTTTTTTTTAATATTTTCTAATATTTATGAACCTAAATTATTAATAATCAATTTAAAAAAAAATTTATTATACATTTATTTTATGATAATTAATAAATAAAAATCTGTATTTTTAATATTATTTAGTAGTAGTTTTTTTAAAAAAATTAAATTTTTTAAATATTAAAAATAATATTTATTTTAATATATTTTTAATATTATAATTAAATTAATTTTAAAATTTTTAGTTAATGTAAAAATATAAAAAAGAATATTAAACTTATTTCTTAATCACATTTAGATTTATAATAAAGCTAAATAAAATATATTTAAAAATAAATTTGAAAAATTATATATTTATATATATATATAATTAAAATTTATAAAATATATTTATAAATTTTATAATTTTATGATATTTGTTTAATTAAAAAATTGTTTTTTACAATATTTTATTTAAATTAATATTTAATAATTTCGATATTAAATATAATTTATGTTTACTATTCTAAATTTAATAATATATAAAATCTTATAATTATATTTATCTTATTTATTATTTTTTTTATAAAATATTTTTTATTTTTTTTATTTTTATTATTATATTATTATTAATTATTTAAATTATAAAAAAAAAATTACATTTATATTTCTATTATTACATTTTTTTTTTTTATAACTATAATTTTATTATAATAAAATAATAATATTATTTATTAATATTTTTTTAGGTTCTCCTTTTTTATATTATTTAAATAATAATATTTTTAATAATTTATTTAATATAATATCTTTTTTAAGACTTAATATTTATATCATTTTTATTTAATTTTGTAAAAATAAAGAAATCGTATTTTTAGTGGAAAATAATTATAAAGAAGAAATATTATAACAATTAAAAGTGTTTTATAAAATAAATTTAAAAAATTATTTATATTAAGTTAATTAATTTATGATTAAAATTTATTTTTGTACTTATTTATATTATTAGAATAAAAGGGCTTTTTCAAAAAGTTAAAATTCTAGTTTTATTAAATAATTGAAGCAATAAGTTTAAGTAATTCCTTTATAGAATATTTCTATAAATTAGAAAGATATTATAATTTAAATAAATAAATAATGTATGAACATTTTTTTTTTATTAATATTAGGAATTTATATGGGTAAATTGATTGATTCAATATTATTAATGTAAATAAAATAACTAAAAAATATATTAAAAAAATTCTTTCTAAAATTATAAAAAAAATTACAAACATTTTAATTAAAAATTAAAAAAAAACTTATTATTCACATATATTAAATTATTTAATAAATATCATTTTAATTAAGATAATTTAAAATATTTTTTTATTTCATTTTTCCATTTTTTGTTAATTATTATCTTACAAAAAATAAATTTAATATGTTTTTTTTTCCTAATTAATTACGTTTTAATTAATAAATAATAAATCATTAATATAAATTACTTTTCATATATTTTTTATAATTTTCAATGAATTCAAGTTATTCTTCATTTAATTTTATATTACTTTCTTTAAAATGTAATTTCTAAAATATTAAATATATATTTATCAAATTAATGCATAAAATAGTTTTTTTTATATATAAAAAAATACCATTATATTATCTATATTTGCTCCTTTATCCAATAAATATTTTGCCATATTGTAGTTACTTTTGATTAAAACTGTAAAAGTAGGATTAATGTTAAAACCCTTAACAAATAATATTTATAATAATATATAAAATTAAAATAAATAAAACATTATTATTTGTAGTTGCTTCTAAATCAGGATTATATTAAAAAAATAAATCTACAAGTTCTTTAGTATTCCAATGACAACTCATAATAAATGAAGTTATTCCTTTGCAATCTTTTTTATTTATATCTGCTCCTTTTTCTAATAAAATTTTTGTCATTTCGATTCCTATTTATCTATTGTCAATCGAATATGCAACTGCATGCATTAATAACGTCACTCCTCTCTATTTATTTTTAGGGATTTTTTTTTTTAATTGAATATACTTTATCAGCTGAATTTGGATTTATTTATTTTTCTAAAAAAAGCTTTTTTAATTAATCTATTTGTCCTGATTATATCATTAATGTTGCTTTTTATTCATCTGCAGTTTACTACTATTTTTGTTTTATAGTGTATATATTTTAGTTTAGTTTTTGTTACATGTTCTTGAAATTTTTATAAAAAGTTTTATAATTTTTAAATCATTTTTTTTTTTTTTTATGTAAATTAAAAAAAATTCATTCATTTTCATTGTTTTTAATTAATATATTTTAAAAATATAAATATTCCTACAAGGATTTTATATGAAAATCTTTTTCTTATTAAATATTATTTTGATTATTTTATATAATAAAATATTATATTTGAAAAACATAATTTTTTATTATTATTATTATTTATTTCTTTTTTCAATATATAAATTAATTTTAGAAAATAATAAGTTTTTTTAATATTAAATTATTATTAAAATTTTATAATAAAATAAAATATATTTTAATATTTAAATTTATATTTATTCATTTAAAAAAAATGTTTGTATCTAAATTAAATAAATAATTTTATAGATTATTAAACATAAATATATTAGATTTTTAAAATTATATTTAAAAAAAAAAATATATATATATTTATATTTTTATATTAATCAAATTAATTTTATATAATAATAAATGTTTAAAATAAAAATTTAAAAAACAAAATTAATAAAAAAAAACATTTTACATTTTAATTTTATAGTTCATATATCAAAAAATATTATTTTAATATTAATAAATAATTAAAAATAGATAACTTTATCAGTAAATATAAATAAATAAATAAAAATTTAAAAATTATAATTTGAAAAATAAAAAAATTATTATGTATTACTACTTTTACAGAAATTAAATTAATTTTGGGTAAAATAAATGCTTTAAATAAAAATTATTAAAAAAATAATATTTTATAGTTTAATTTTATTGGACATATACATAAAATATTATTGAAAACATAAATAATTAATAATTAAGATATAAAATAATGCTTACACATAAATAATGTAAATGTATTAAAAATTATATTTTTAAAAGTTAAAAGATAATTTTTTTTAATAATATATTTCTCATTTATATGTTTAAATTAATCAAATTGATTTTAACAAAAATAATAAATATTTTAAATATAAATTATTATTAAAACACATAAAAAATAATAACTATAACTAATTATTATTATTTAATTTTTTTTTAAAGAAATATCATTATTAAAAATATATATAATAATATAAGGTTTTTAAATTATTTTTGAAAATAATATTTTTCTCTTTAAAAATATATTAGTCTTATATCTGATTAAATTAATCAAATTAATTTTAGAAATTATAAAAGCTTTAAATAAAAAATTAAATAATTATAAAAAAATTAATAAAAACATATATAATTTATTTAAATTTTTTAGATATAAGCGAAAAATATTATTTAAAAATTATATATATTTTTTTATATAATTATTATGATTTTCGGTTCATATTATTATGATTTTTTTTTTTAATTATATATAAATATTTATATATATTAAAATTAATTTATATTTATAATATTTAAAAATAATAATGCTACAAATATGAAAAAAATATAAAAATAAAATTAATATAATTATTATTATTAATATGATATAAATTTTATAAGATTACTTAAATAAATGAACAAATCCTGTTTATTTTAATAATAATTATAAATCTAAAAAAATTATTTAAAATATTATATTTATGTGTATATATAACACTTTAAGTCTAATCCATTGTAAATTGAATTTATTTTTTATTTATATTATCTGAATTATTAATACCATAAATTTAATATAATTTAATTTAAATCCTCTATAAATGCATTTATCAAATAAAAACAAAATTTAAATATTTTTTAATTAATATAAAGGCAAAAAATGTAAAAAAAAATAGTATTAATATTTTGTATATTTACTATAATCTTCTCTTAAATTTTTGATATTCACATCGTTGGAACTAACGATATTCATGGAGCAGGATTAGGAACATAAAAAGAAATTACAGTTAATAACTAAAGAGTCACTTATTAAATAGGAGGATATAAATTATTATCAGGATTAATATCCATTGTAAAATCAATTAATCCAAAAGGCTTTCTTTGGTTAGATGCTGGCGATTAATATTAAGGAGCTAGAGAAGGAAGACTTACATAAGGTATGTTAATGACAACATTTTATAATACCATGTAGGTAAATGCATCTGCATTAGGAAATCATGAATGGGATGATGGAAAAGTATTTTTAGGTAATTATATAAATTCTGCTACATAATATGATTACTTGATAGCAAACATTAGTAGGAAAACTAATCAATAAATTGCATAAGAATAAGTTAAATTAGGGACTGATCAAGCTAAAATTAATGAATTAAATATTAATATATATTAACAATTGGATGCAAAATATAGAGGAACTTTCCCTACACATAAAATAGTTTATCTTTAGGATCGTTAGATTAAAGTAGGTATTATTGGTCTTACAACTAATGAAACTTATAGTTCTTCATCTAAGCCACCATTAGATATGGATATATCTGCCGATTATGCTAATATTATAAATAATTTAAGTCAAAGATTAAGAAATACAGATTAAGTTCATGTAGTAATAGTAGTATCTCATGTAGGAATTATGTGTTTCCCAGATGACTTTAAAGAATTCAAAACCTATAAAGTAAGAACTGAAGATGACCCTATTAATTCATAAATAAAGTGTAATCAAAAAGAAATTGCGTAAATAATTTAATTAATTCCTAAAGGAACTGTTGATGCTTGGGTAGCAGGACATGTCCATGATACAGTACATAATTTTATAAATGGAATTCCTATTATACAGAATCCAAATGGGGGAAAATTCACTAATGTAATAAAATTATAAATATAAAAAGATGCTGATGGAAGTGTAAAAGTATTAAGAAACAAAACTGAGATTTGGGGTCCTATTCCTTTATGTGATAAAGTATTTGAATAAACTAATTAATGCGAATTTTTACCTAAAGATGACAATTTATAAATGAAAGATTTTTTGTTTTAAGGATAAAAATTATTAGACAGAACTCCTGAAAATGTCAAACAAATATTCTAAACTGCTGCTTTTTAATAACATATTAATTAAATCTAAATATGGTAAAGTAATATTCTTTTTACTATAGATTAAGATTTTACCAATGAAAAGCTTGACTTTAATCCTTTAGGTGCATTATTTACATAGGCTTTTAAAAAAGCTTATTTGAGACAGTATCCATAAGATGATATTAGTAAAGTTATTGTAATTTGTGGATGGGGAGGTTTTAGAGTTGATTTACAAAAAGGGCCTATATCATAACTTGATATTATGAATATGTTTCCTTTTGAAGGAACTTTGGTTAAAGTAGAAGTAAGTGGAAGTTAAATGATTGAAATAATAAAAATATTATAATCTGGAAGAAAACCTTTTTATACTTTTTACGGCGTTAAAATGAAAGTTAAAATAGACCCCTATAGAGTGGTTAAAGATAGCATAACTTTAACTGACGGATCTTAAATAAATGAAAGTGATGTGTTTTAAATAATTACTTATGAATTTAATATTAGGAATGGAGGAGATGATTTCTCTAAAGTATAAAGATTAGGACTTTTGACAAATAATTATTAAAGACTTACTTTATTAAATAGAGAATTTGAAGCTGCTATGATGGGTTTGGAAAATAGATTATATACTTTAGATGAATTAAAAAAATAAAATTTATATTTAGAAGTCGAAATAGATTGCCCTGATAATTGCAAATAATGCTCTGACACAAGTAAATGTACACTTTGTAACGATGGATTTAAGATTTAATCAGATGGATAATGTGTTAAAATTAATCTAACTAAATAAGATGATCAAAAAAACACAGGATTAGCTATTGGAATAACATTTTTCATTACTTTTATTTTTGTATTATTGTAGGTTGTATATTAATCTATTTTTATAAAAAGCATCTTATTTCCGAATTAAAATAAGTTTAAACAATTTAAAATGTTAAAGTTTGTGCAGACAATTAATCTGAAAAAATATTAGGATAATCTGAAAAGCATTTAGGATAATCTTGAAATTGAATATAAAGGAAGATTTTTTTTATTTAAAGAAATAAAATAATAAAAAATGACTATTGTTTTTTATCTTTTTATTTAATATTATTTTATAAACATTAAAATTTCTAATTTTTTTTTAAAAAAATATTTAATAATGAGAAAAATAAATTAAAAAATATTTTATAAAAAAAAAAAAAAATATAATAATTTTTTTAAAAATATTTTTATTTTTTAATATATAATTGTAAATTTAGTAAATGAATTAATAAATGAGTTTTGTATAACTAATCATTTATACTCCTAATTAAAATAAAAAATAAAATAAAAGGCAAGTATGAATAATTTTTATTAAAATAATTAAAAAATTTATAAAAATATTTTTTTTTTTTAAATAAATTAAGTATTAATATTTATATATAATATAAAATAAATACATAATATATAAATAAAATAAAAATGGATTTAAACAAAAAGGACTATAATCAAATATAAAGTAAAAAGCAATAGTATTGATTTTATTTTATTAAAATTAAATAAAAAAGAAATATTAAATTAAGATGACAAATAAATAAATGCATAAAATATAACCAAAAAAAAGTAAAAAAAAAATTAATTTAATTATAATATAAAATAAAAAAAGAAATCCCATCTAAATAAATTAGGATTAAACAAAAAACTAAAACAATTTATAATTATAAAAAATTAATATAAACAATCATTTACTACATAATTAAAATCTTTAGTCATTTTCATATCATATTTAAACAAAATAATAAAACTAAGAAGAAAAAGAGACAGAAAGCATAAAAAAATCGATTTATTGTTAATTAAATAAAAAAATAGTTCCCAATAATATATAAATAGAAAATATTCATAAATAGTAAATAAATTATTTCAAACAATAAATTTAAAATTATGAATAAAGTAGTTTTTATTTTTTATAAAAAAAATAAAATATAAATACATTTTATTTTTTTTGAAAAATATAAATACATTATATTTTTTTTAAAAAAAAATAGAAATTAAATAATTAAATGAAATTTAATAAAAATATAGTAAATTTAATACTTAAAAAAATAATAATTATTACTATTAAGATACGATTTTAAAGAAGCAAGACAATTAATTAAATTAATAACAAGAACTATCTTAAATAGTTAGTACAAATATATAAAATACTTAAGATGAATTGAAAGAAGAGAAAAATAATTAAAAGGCTTTATCGGAAAGTAAATATAAAGTATAATAAAAGTAATATAATATATAGAAATAAGAACATTGGAATAATTTTAAACTAAATGAATTAAATAATATAGATAATTAAATTCAGAGTAATATTTAGTTAAATAAAATAATTTCTTAATACGAAAAACAAATAAAAAATTAAAATGATTAAATATAAAATGTAAAAAAAAATGAAATTTTAATAGACGAATGTGAAATCAATCAATAAAAAAATTAAAATTAAATTCTAAAAAGTTAAATAAAGGAACTTTTAGAAAACTAAAAAAAAAAAGAGAAAATTATTTTAGAAAAACAATAAAATATTGATTAGTTAAAAAATTAATTTGATTAGTTAAAAAATTAATTTGAACTTTTAGTTTAATAAAATTAAATCGATATTAATTAATTAGAAAACGAAAAATAAATTTTAGCTTTAGAAAATGAAAATATTATCCAAAAACTAACTAATATGTAATTTTTATAGACTAAAAATTAGAAATTTGATGGATAAATTTAAGAAAAGAATACTTTTATTTAATAATTATAAGACAAGATTAAAACTTTAAATTAGAAATTATTAATTTAAGAATAAAAAAATTAAAATAATGAAGAAATTTTAACTTTAAAAGAATAAATTTGTTAATAGAATTAATAAAATGAAAAACAAAATTAAATTTTAATTTAAGAAAAATAAAAATAAATGAAAGATTTTGAAATAAAATATAATAACTTATAAAAAATAAATGAAAATTTATAAAAAAAAAATGAATAAATATAAATGTAATCCCAAAAAATTGAAGAAAGCTTAAATTTGAAAAATAAAAAAATCGAAAAATAATATTAGAATATATAAAAATTAAATGAAGAAATATAATAAAAAACAATTGAAATTAAAGAAAAAAATACTTAAATAGCTTAATATTAATAATAATTAATTAAAATTTAAAATAAAAATAATAAAATATAAGAATAATATGAATCAGAAATTGATTAAAGAAAAAATTAAATTTCTTAATAATAATTATAAAATGAATAATATATGAAAATTTAAATATAATAATATGAATTAGAAATCAAAAAAAAAAAAAAATAAATAGCTAATTATTAATAATAATTATAAAATATTTAAGAAAAAGTAAATTTAATATAGAATTAATTATTATAGAAAGAATAAGAAAATTAAAGATTATTATAGATATTATAAGATAGTGAATATAAAATAAATAAATAAGAAGAAGAAATTAAATAAAAAACAATAGATATAGAAACCATAAAGAGTGATTTATAATTTTTAAATGATAAATAAAAAATTTAAAAAGAAAGTCCGGAAAAATTAAAATAATAAGAAAATTAAATATAAGAATAATTATTTTAAATAAATAAATTACAAGAACAATTATAAAAAAATCAAGAAAAACAGACTTTATAATTATAAAATTTTGTAAATGAAAAAAATGAGATTATTAATTTAAATTAAATACAAATATAAAAAATTAAATATTAAAAAATACAAAAAGAAAACGAAATTAAATAACTTAAAGAATAATTAGAAAAATAAAAGATTATTATTTAATAGAAATTCGAAGAAGAAAAAGAAGTTATCTTAAAAGATTAGAAACAAGTATTAAATGAAAATATATAAAAAGAAAAAGAAATTTAATCCTTTAAATAATTATTGGAAAATAAAAAAGAAATTATTTAATAAAAAATTGATTTAATTTTAGAAAAAGATGCGGCTTTGGAATAAATTAAAGGTTAAAATGATTAAAAAATTAAAGATTTTGAAAATTTAATTTAAAATTTATAAAGTTAAATTCATGATATTCAATTATAAAATGATCTAGTTTAGAAATAATAATAAGAAAAACTTTTTTAAGAAATTTAGTTTTTGAATAATGTAAGTTTGTAAAAAAATGATGAAATAGATAAACTTAAATTCGAAATTACTTTAGTAAAATAAAGATTTTAAAATGCTTAAAGTTAACTTGAATTATCAAATAAGGAAATTAAAGATATTAATTAGGTTTATATTTAAAAAGATTAAACTATATAACTACTTTAAGAATAGATTTAGAAAATTTAATGTTAATTAGGTAAAGAAAATGAGGATTTAAAAAATAATATTGATTAAAAGTATGAATAAATATTAGATTTATAAAAATCTTTAAATGAATCTACAAAATAAAATAAATTATTTGAAGAAAAAGGTTAATAAGTAGATGATTAGGTTTAAAATTTCTAAATAAAAAATAAAGATTAAGAAATTTAATAATTAAAATAAGATTTATATTTATAAGGAGAAAATATAAATCAATTATAACAAAAAATAATTTATTATAAAATGATATATAAAAAAAGGAATAAATAATGCATAAAAATGAAGAAAATTTAATAGAAAAAATATAAGAAAATGAAAAAATAATAAAGTAACTATAATTAAAAATTTAAGAAATATTAAAATAAAATGAGGAAACATTTAAATAAAATGAAGAATTTACAAAAGTAAATTAATAAAAAATAAATCTTTTATAAATTAGTATATAAGAAAATGAAGATAAAACACTATAATATAAATATATAATTAAAGAAAATGAATAAAAGATAATTTTATTATAATAAAAAGAATAGTAAATAAAAGAATAAGAATAATAAATAAAAGATTAAGAATAATAAATAAAAGAATAAGAATAATAAATAAAAAATTAAGAATAATAAATAAAAAATTAAGAATCATAAATAAAAGATTAAGAATAATAAACAAAAGAATAGGAATAATAAAAAAAGAATAGGAATAATAAATAAAAAATTAAGAATAATAAATAAAAGAATAAAAATAATAAATAAAAGATCGAGAATAATAAATAAAAGTATAGGAATAATAAATAAAAGAATAAGAATAATAAATTAAAGAATAAGAATAATAAATAAATAATTTATAAGAGAAAACAAATGAATTTTAAGAAAAAATGATATAATTGTTAAAATTAAATGATAAGTATAAAATAAAAAGAAAATTAAAAAATATATATATAAAATTATGAGAAATAATTCGAAAATATAAATAATTTAGTTAATGAGGAAGTTTAAAATTTACATGAAAAATTAAAATTTTTAAAAGAATAATTAATTATCGAATAAAATTCAAATTTAGATTTAGTTTAAACAAAAGAAGTTTTTCTAAAATAAATTTCTTCTCTTTAAATTAATTTAGAAAATGAAAAATTAAATATTTATATTCTTTAGGATGAAAACATGAATTTAAAAGAATAAAAAAATAACTAAAGCGATGAAACTATATAAAAAGATTCTCTTATTTGTAATTATATTGATACTATAGAAGAAAATAAAAAATAAATTCAATAAATTTCAAGTTCTTATGAATTAAGTTAAATAGAAAATCTAGAATTGAAATAAAAAACTTAAAATTTAATAAATGAGAACGAGAATTTAAAAAAAGAAGTTAAATAAATTTAAAATAATTTAGAAAACGACAGTATAAAATAAATTGAAATATATTAAAATGAATATTTAAATAAAAATATATAATATGAATAATTATAAAAGTTAAATAATGATATTTAAACTGAAAATTTAGAATTAAATATTAAATTAGAAAATGAATTAAAATAAAATTCCAAATTATTAAATTAAATTGAAAATTTAAAAGATTAAAAAAATGATTTAGAATAATAACAAGAAAAATTCTAATAATAAATTAATATTTTTTTATAAGAAAAAGTTGATTTTAAATAATCAATTGATATATTTTAAAAGTAAGTTAATGATTTTTAATAACAGAATAACAATTTATAATAATAAAATAATAATATTTAATAGGAAAAAAATAGTTTATCATAAGAAAAAGATAGTTTAATTCAATAAAATAATAATTTATAATAATAAATAATTTTTTTTTAAGAATAAAATGAAAGTCTATAAAAGAAATTTAATATAATTTAATAGTATAATGATGATTTAAAATAACAAAATGATAATTTATAAAAATAAAGCAATAATTTATTATAAGAAACGTAAAATTTAAAAGCGAATAATGACATTTTTAAATAAGAAAATGAGAATTTATAAATTCCAAATAAAAATATAGATCAGAAAAATATTAATTCAAATATTTAAATTGAATCTTTAGAAAATACTATTAAATAATTATAAAAAAAAATTGAAAATTCAGAAATAGAAAATAATAATTTAATAGAAAAAATAGAATATATAAAAAAACAAAATATTAATATTAATCAAGAAGAATAAAAAGAATAATTAAAAAAGGAAGTTAATATATAATTAAAAAAATACTAAATATATATAAATAGGAAAAAAGATGAAGAAATATAAACAATTTAATATAAACTAGCTTTAAAACTTTAAGAAGAAAAATAAAATTTAAAATAATAAATTTAATAAGAAATGAATGAAAAAAATAAAGAAAATTAAAAACTTTGTAAATAAAAAATCAAAGAAATAACAAAAAAAATATACGAAAAGTAAATTTAAATTGAAAAATAAATAATTTTGGAATAACTTTAAATATAAATGACTTCTTTATAAAAAAATTATTAATAAAAAATTTTAGAGTTTAAAAATAAATTCAAAAATTAGTTTAAAATTAAGTATTAAAGAATACAAAATTCTGTTGTTTCTTAATTAAAATTCTAGTTTTAATCATAGATTAATTAAATTAATTTTCCTATAATCGAAAATAAATAAGGATAAGATAATTAATAAGTAGATGAATGGAAAAATAGTTACAAATTAAAAATCAAAAGAAAAATTTGTAAATTAAAAAAAGAAGAAATTAATTAAATAACTCTTCTATTTGCCGAAAAAATTAAATTTTTTTCTGAAAATGAATTTCTAGGGGATTAAAAAAAAGACTTTTATGAAGAACATATAAAAAAATTAATCGAGAAACAAAAAAATAAATATAATTCGATAAAAATTTAATATTAAAGGCAAATAAAAAGTATTTATGAATCTTTACAATAATCTTTACAATAAAAAATAAATGAAATCTAAACGAAAAACTTAAAAAAAGAAAAAATAAAAGCTAAACTTACAATTGAAAAAAACTAAGAAATAGATTATATTAAAGAAAAATTAGTATTTTAACTGTAAGAAATGGAATAAAATTATTTAAAAAATTTAATTAAAATTAAAAATGAAAATGAATAATTATAAATTTCAATAAATAAATAAGAAAATTAATAATAAGGATAATAAAATCTAGATAAAGAAAAAATTTAAGAATAACGAAAAAAACAATAATACGAAGAATAATAATTATTAGAAAACTAACAAGGATACTAAAAAAAATAAGAATATGAAAAAAAACAAGATCAGGAAATAAATAAACAAGAAATTGAAAATAAATAAGAAATTTAAAAACTAGAATATTTATTTTAAAAAATGAAAGAACAAAATAAAGAATTAGAAAAATAATTAAATGAGGAAAAAGAAAGAAATATTAAAAAATTTTTATAATTAGAAGAACATTATAAATCTAATATTTTTAGTTTATAAAAACATTAATAATCTTAAGTTATAAATGATTAATATATTAAAAAAATAGAAAACTATGAACATGAAATTTAATAAAAAAATAAAGAAAATAGTTAATTAAAAGATTTATAATCAGAATTATTAAATATAAATGAATAATTATTATCACAATTAACTAATTATGAATAAAAAACTAATTTCTTACAAGAGGAGAAAAATACATTATTAGAAGAAATTGAAAAACATAAGCTAATAAATGAAGAACTAACATATTAAATAGAAGATAAAGAAAAAAAAAAATTAAATTAAATCTATTAATCGATGACAATATATTAGAAAATAATTCTGAAAAAAATGTTTCAAAAAACTCAATTGAAAATAGCGCAAAAGCAAGCAGTGCAAAATCTAAAGAAGAAAAAAAGTTCTTAATATAAGAATTATAAAGAAAAAGTGCATATGCGGCAAGTATGTTAGCTTTTAAAAAAGATTATTCAACAATTATAGATAATAAAATGCATTAAAATATCTTTTAATAAAATAATTAATAAGATTAATCGAATATTCAAGATAAAGACGATAATAATAAAAAATGAATAAACAAAGATAAAAAAAATAAAATATTTATATTAAAATTAAGTATATTAATAATATATAATAAAAAAGAATTTAATAATAAAAGTAAAATTAGATTTATATATAAATATAAATAAAAATATAATTATATATATTTTATATAAAATAATTTAAATGTTAAAATTATATATATATATTTATATATATTTTTATTTATATATCTATATTTTATTTATATTTTTTTAAAAAATTTTATTTAATTTTTTATCTTTTAATAAAAATATCTTTTACTTCTTTAATAAAATTAATAACTTCTTTTTTATTTTATATCACAAAAATTTAAATATGATTATTATTATAATTTACAACAACAAAAATATACAACTAATATTTTTATTTACAAAAATATTTTTATTTTTATTTATATTAATTTTAATATATCTATCTATATTTGATTCTATGTTATTTTTTTAAAGTTTTTTTTTTATATTTTGAGAAAATATTTTTCTTTATAGTACAAGGCTTATTCACTAATAAATACTAAGAATTGTATATAAAATAATTCAGATTTATTTTTATACAATAAAAGCCTTTTTTTATATTTCTTATATATAAAAAAAAAAATCTATATATATTTTTGATATATATTATTTTTTTCGATATTACAGAAAAATTATATTTCATTTAATATTAATAAACATTTTTTAGATTTATTTTAATAAATATAATTTATGGTAATAAATTCATTTATAATTTATCTTATATAGTATTTTTTTCTAGTTTATATAAATTTATGTTAAATTTGAATGTTTTCTTTTTAAAAATAATATTTTTAATTATTATTTATTTATAGATATAAAATTACCTAATAATTGTAAAAACATTAATTGTGTTTTCAAAAAAAGAATATTTGTTTTTTTAAATTAAATTAATTTTTTTAATTATTATTTATTAATTTATTTATGTATTAAAATTCAAATCGTTTTTTTTGGGTTTAGAAACTTATTATTATTTATACGTTACGTTTTTGATTATATTTAATGATTATTATTATTTTTAGAATATTATTTTTAATATATATATCTTTATTAATTACGAAAAATATATAAATTTATAAAATTTATAAAAAATACTTCATTTAGAAAAAAATAAAAAAAAATCATCCTTTATTTTTTATTAAAAAAAAAAAAAAAACATTAAATATAAAAAGAAAAAGAATAAAAATTAAAATTAAAAAAATAATTATATATATTAAAAATCTAATTAATATGCTTATATATTTATATATTAATTTTTTTTCTATAATTTATTTATAAGAACACAATTGACAAAAAAAAAGGGAAAAAAAAAAAAAAAACTTAAGAAAAAATGCTTTTCTGAACTGTGTTTTTTTAAAAAATCACTAAAAAAATAAAAAAAAATAGTGCTAAAAATTAATATATATAATCATAAAAATTTCTCCCCTTCAGAATTTTTAAACAACTAAATAACTATTTTGAAAGCGATTTCATCCATAAACGCTGCAATAGTGAAAATACCACCTACAATAGCCGAAACTTAAACCAAGAAATGTAAGAATGGCATTCTATCTTTTTTAAACATAACTGTAACTGGCGACAAATCATATCTAAAATAAATTGCTGGAATATAATCGGTTTATATTTAATTTTCTGTAAAAACAAACTAGTTTACATAATAAGTATACCCCCATTCATCTATATATGTAGTTGGGACAACATTAAGATAATAATTATAAGAAATTCCATAATTTTCAAAATGTTTTTATTTTGTTTTTACTAATTTATCCATAGGATTTAAAACGCCTAAAGTGAATTATTTTTTAACAATTTTAATCTCATCTTCATCCCCAAAAGATAAATGATTAATTTTATGTGACAGATCAATCGTATTTATACCCGTTATACGGAAAACATAGCCCAATATTTGGCCAAAAGCATGACAAGAAATATGAAAATTGCCTGGAACTCTATTCACGTACATAAATCCTGATAATTTACAACCTTCTTTATTCTATATGGCTTATTAAATTCTTTATAAATCTACTTAATTGGATTAATCATGGGCATGACCAGAATGTTATTTGTTTTATTATTATTCATGTCTATCAAAATATTCACCAGTTTTTGTAATACGAGTCTTATGTAAATCACCTTCCACATTAACAGAATGAGAGCCCATTATATCTTAAAAATCTAAAGATAATATATCGCAGGGAAATTTAGGAAAATCAATATCAAGGTTTACTCGAATTTTTTATCCACCGCGAAGCGAATCAACAAACATTTCACTAGTTTCTTCGGTATGTAAATATTAATTAAATTCGGAAATTAATAACAATATAATTGAAATTATAGAAATTATAGATAATATGGCACCACAATATGTTTTTTGTTATAAATCAGAAGGTAATTTTCGAAAAATGTCAAATTATTTTATCATTTTATTAATTATAACTTAAAATTTTTTTATATATTTTTAATTTTCTTAATATTTTAATAATTAATATTTTTTTTTTTTATTTTTTTTTTTAAATTTTTTAAAGTTTTCTTTTTATTGTATTTTTTATATATATTTTAACTTTGATTTTTTTATTTAATATTTTTATTTTATTATATATATATAATTTAGACAATTATAATATAAAAAAACGAATAAATTAAAGATAAAAATAATATTAATAATTATTAATTACTTATAAAAAAAATATATATAAAAAAAGAAAAAATAAATACATAAATGATATAAATATATTTATTTATTTATATATATATATATATATATATATATATATATATATATTTATATTTATAATAATTTTTTATATAAAATAAACATATATTTTATTATTTTTTAATATAAATATTATCATTTTTAATATAAATAATTTAAATAGTAATATCTATTTTCCAATATAATTAATTTTTTTATATTTTAATTATATTAAAATTCTAAATATTTTTAGCATTGTTCATCAATTATATTTTTTTAGCCATTTAATAGAATTTTTAATATATATTTTTATTATGAATTTCTCTAATATGCAAAAATAAGTTAAATAATTATTTTTTACTACATATTTTAAATTTCTTTAATAATTGAAATTTTTATATCTAAATTAAATAATTAATATTTCATTTTTATTTTTATTATCTTAATGATCTTTATATATTTTATTAATTCTTTTTTTTTATACATAATATCTTAATAAATATTTTATATATATATTTTTTTTATTTTAAACAATAAAAAAACTAATTAAAATTTTAATAGAATAAAAAACAGTACTTTATGCGTTTAAAGTTATCTTTTGTAAAGAAAATCGAATGTTTAATATTGAAAAGATAAACAAAATTATAAAAAATGTTATTTAAAATATTAAGAAAAATATATCTAAAATAAAAGAAAATTTTTTTTTTTTTAATTATTTTCATAAAAGAGGTCGTTTTACAGATACATTGAAAGCTTATAAAAAAATAATTGTCAAATATATGAAAAAAATAAAAATCAATAACACTCTGTTAAATGAATAGAATAATTATTAATAAACCATTTTTTTAGTTAACTATTATATATTATTTTTATTTTTTTAATAATAATAAAAAGGTTTAAAGTGTATTGTATTTAGTCAAATATTAAGTTATTACCAAAAATTAAAATGCATTTGTGATTTTAAATATTTAATGTCATAATAGTTAGTAAATAAACCTAAAATATTTCAATAAAAAATACTTATACTTACTTAAGATTGAATATTTTTATTTTCACATGAAAATTTCACAAAAATTCCCTTATAAACAAACTTATAAAACAATTATAAAAAATTCTTATTTTATTTTTATTTTCTTTCTACAATTAGCAAATATAACTCATTAATACCAAATAAATAAATTCTAAACATAAAAAACAAAAAATAATAGTCCAACATTAAAAATAAATCAATTAAAATACTTCTATTACTATTATAATGGAAAAAAACTATTCATAATAAAATCAAAATATGGAAAAATGCATGGGGCATATAGAGGAATAAACAAAAGACTAAAATAGTTTCATATACCATAAAATATATATGTAAATACTAAATTAGAAACTAGATAATAAATAAATAAAAATAATCATGATAATAAAATGCATAATATAGCTAACAATAAGTCTCATAATAAACTTTTGCATAATAAAAATACTATAAAATACAATTAATATAATATATAAAATAATATATTAACTTATTAAAAATTGATTATATTTACAGAATATATATTAGTTTAAAAAAATAATATTTAAATTAAATATAATATAATAAATAATCAGAAAAAAACTTCGATTTTTAAATGCAAAAATTTTATAATTTCAATTATAATAAACATAATTTTTACTTAAGTTCTATTTATTACATGGTACATTAGTTGCCACTTATTTCATATCAATTATTATTATTTTAATTTAATTGTATATATTAATGTGATTTTACATAAATTAATATTCAAAAATAAAAAAAAATATTATAAATAATAAATAATTTTAGCGATTTAAAATGCCAAAGTTTATAAACAAATATTTTAAAAGTTATAAATGTTGAAAGATAAATAAAATATAAATAACAAACAAATAAAATAAATTATAATAAAATAAAATAAAATAAAAAAAATAAAAATAAAATGAAAAAATAAAAAAAAAAAAAAAATATAATAATATAAAATAATATAATAAAAAAATATATATATATATATATATAGATATATATAAAAATCTATTTTAATTAATACTTAAATTTAATAAAAATAAAACAAATAGTATTTTATTATAATATTAAAAATTATTTTTAGTTATTTTAGAAAATAGATAATAGAAGAAGTATTAAATATATATAAAACATAAAAATATTATATTTTATAAATTATAAACAAATGAAAAAAAAGTTAAACAAAGTATTAAAAAAGTAAAATATAAAAAAAAATTAAAAAAAATAATATTTAACAATAAATATTAATAAAAAAATATTAATAATAATAATAATAATAATAATAATAATATTAATAATAATTATAATAATAATAATGATTTTAATTATTTTTTTATATTAACAATTTCAATTATTTTATAAAATTATTAATCGCCAAATTTTTTCTTCTTTTCATATGCATTAATTTTTATATTATTTTTCTTATACAATTGATTTATCTAATATTTTATTTTCATAAATAAGTAAACTATTTTAATTTAACATATATAAGAATATTATTTTTATTAAATTATAAATTATATTTAAACATAATTTTTGAAATTAATAAAAATTTTTATAATTCTATTCTTAATTATTCTTTCCATATTTTATTTTAAATATATAAATTATATATTTTTTTTTAAATATATTACAAATTAATTGAATAACAAATAAATATTCCTTTAACAATTTTTTTTATCTAATTTACATAATGTATAAATATATTTATAAAAAACGCAATAAAAATTTAAAATTAATAAATATAAAATTAAAAAATATGGCACATTAAAAAACAAAATTAATTAATATTATTTTTTTTTCGTTATTTCTAAAAAAAAAAACTTAAAATATCAAATATTCTATTATTTTTTGATAAAAATTTCTCTTCTTAAACTCATTTATTAAATTATTTCTTCCTAAGAACATATTTCTCCTTATGTCCATTCATGAGTTTTAATATTATCAAGAGTAATTCTTTTCTCAGGATCATGTTCTAAAAGTTAATTTATTAAATTTTTAAATGAACTACAACTATTAATTTTACTTTTCCTTCCCAAAATATCCCAATATTTTCCATAATTTCTACTACTCAATAATCCATAAAGTGGATCTTTTCCACTAGCCTACTAAATCCAAGGTTAAAACCTATATACGAAACAAAAAAGAATAACTCCGACACAAAAAATGTCTACTTCAGCTCCTTTGTATTCTTTATTATTAATCATTTCGGGTGGCATATAATTTTAAGTTCCTACTATTTCATTTAATAAAATATCATCACTATTTAACTAACATGAAAGTCCAAAATCCCCTATTTTTAATTAAAAGTTTTTATCTAAAAAAAGGTTATCTAGTTTTAAATCTCTATGATATATATTCTATTAATGTATATAATCTAAAACATTTATTAATTAAATAAAATAATATCTCGCTAGTTTTTCTTCAAACGGATCGGTTAAAACATAATTTAAAATATCTCCGTTTTATTCATAATTTAAAATTAGGAAATTATCACCAAAATCAACCAATGTGACTATATTTGGGTGGTCTAAAATACCCAAAATTTTCTTTTCTTTTTGATTATAGCAAGTATCTTCTTTGTAAAGTTTAACAGCGTATTTTTTATCACATTTAGAACATAAATGGACATCTGAAAATTTACCAAAACCTAATTTTTCATGAATTTTATAATTTTGAATCATTTTTTTTTTGTATTTTTTTGTTTTGTTTTTTTTTATTTGTTTTTATTTTATTTTTTTGTATTTTAAATTTTTATATTTTTTAATTTATTTATTAATGTTATATTACTTTTTTAAAAATAAAATAATTGCGTAAATATCGTGTAATTTTATATATTTATTATTTACATTAAATATAAAAATATATAAAATATTATTTATTAATTTTTTTAAAAAAAAATAATTTAAAAAAAAAAATAACAATTATTTAAATATGAATATATTTTAATATTTTTTATTTTAAAAAAAATATTAAGTCCGTAAATAATTTATATTTTAAATAAAAAATGTTATTAATATAATAAGGTAAATAAAATATAATTAAAAAAAATCATAAATAAATATTTTCTATTTTAAAAGTCTAAAATAATAATTTAAAATAAAAATTAATTTAAGTATTTTTTATATTTAACCAATTTAAAGTTAAAGAATTAAGGAAAAAAAATTTAAAAATTATATAAAAAAAAATATAATGATCGAAAAATAAATATTATATTTTATTATATGTATAGTAAAAAAAAAAAATATATAAATAAAAATAAAAAAAATTGGTTATTTCTGATTTATTTTTGATAATTTAAATTTCGTTAATAAAAAAAAAATATATATCATTTTATTAAATATAAAAATCATATTAAATATTAAAAAATTTATTTCCATAAAAAAAATCAGATATTCTTAAAATAATTTTTTTTTAAATATTATAGCTACATTAAAACACAAAAAAAATTATTTTATAAATTAAAAAATTAAAAAATTTAAATTAATAAAAAAAAAAATCTAATTAATTATATAAATATGAAATTATATCTATAAAAATATATAAATCATATTTATGATTTCTCATAAATTATTGTAAAATAACTAAATGAAAAATATTAAAAAATATATAAAAGAAAAATAAATTAAAATATTTTATAAATAAATAGAAATAAAAAAAGAAAAATATTATATTATATATAAATATATATATATATATATATATATATATATTTAAATATATATATATTATTATATTTTTACGTGAATTATTTTAATTCTTGGTTACAACAAAAAATAATACAAATAAATTAATATACTATCTATATATTTAATAAATTAATTTTTTTATTTATTTGAATATATATATATATGTATATAATATAAATATAAATACATTTATTTAGAAATAAAATATATCATTTATAACTATATATTTTATATTAAAAATTTATATAATTTTCAATATCATCAATTTAATCTTCCATAGTTTATTTTTGTTTATACCTACCTTCATGTAAAGAATGCTATGCTAAATCTAATAGTCCTAAATCTATTTAATTATTATATTTTTATTACAAATTAACTTCTCTTAATTATCCCAACCTTTTTTCATTCTTAAGATATACTTCTTTAAAATCTTCCTCATTTCCTTAAATTTTTTAATAATAAAGTCCTTATCTATTTAAAAAATCATCTGGTAATTCTACCAAATCCTCAATTTAAATTGCTTATTTTTAAAAATCTTTAAATTCTTAAGAATTATTAAGAACAAATTCATCTTTTTATTTTTCAAAAATATTTATATGTCTTGAGCTTTCTTCCAAAGGACCATGGTAATCTTTTTCTGGATCAAAATTAAAAGCATCAAAATACGGATCCTAATTATTATAATACGGCCTCGGTTTTTTGGGCAAATCAATCTAAATATTTTATTCTAAATCATATAATTTTTATGTATTATCATTATTATAAAATTTATTTTTCTAATCTTATTTATTTGTTGTTTAAAGAAAGGCATTATAAAGTTCCCTTTATCTAATTTCATCAATAGCCTATGTTTTTTTTAATTCAACTTTCAATCTTTTAAGATCTTCTTCTGCATTATATCTTCTTTCATTTACTTTCATTAATTAACCTTTCATTTGTAAAATTTACTCTCCTAAACTGTTTTATTAATAATTCATTTCATTACGGATTCTTGCCAATTCATTATTGACAGTTTCTTTTACTGTAGATGCTATTTCTAAAGGGAGTTCTCGAATAATTCTCTATTCAATAATTTCTGTATTTTAAATTTATGGAATCTATATGTTGTTACTTTTTCTTCTTTCTAAATAATTATCTTCCTATTATTATTATTAAAATTATTATTATTATTAATTTCCATTTTATGGATAAAATTCTAAAATTTAAGGTTCTTAAAATTAAACTATTTTTTATTATTAAACATCAAATTGTATATTATTATTATTATTATTATTATTATTATTATTATTATTATTATTATTATTTAAATCTTTATTCTCATAACCTTTTTACTACATTTTTTTTTCATTCTAAATTTATTAATTATTTCTTTATTCTAAATCCTATATTTCTCTTTCGATACGTAAATCTTCTAGTTCTCTCTCTCTTTTTTCTTACAAAATCTTTAATTCTCTTTATCTTTTTTTCTCTTCTATTTATTGTAGTTATTCTCTTTATAATTCAATAGCTTCTTATCTTTTATTCATTTTTTATAAATCTATATTATTTTCCGGTCCTTGATATTATTATTGCAATTCTATTACATGAGAATTTGTTTTTTGATTTTAATTTTCGTTTTCTTGGTTTAACTCATATATTTAATTTAATTTATTTCTCCCTGTTTAAACTCTTTATTCTAGATCTTTTTAATATTTTATATCCTTATCATAAACAGCTAAATCCTAAGCCTTTAATATTTAATACATATATAAATAGAATTTAAATAATATATATATTTAAAATATAAATCTAAAAAAAGAAAAATACACTTTAATTTTTATAAATTAATTAATTATTAATTTCTTATTAATATGGTTCTGCCAAAATTTTATGTCCCATATGTGAAAACCAATCCATGCTTTAATAATTAGGATTTCCCGGACGAACTTTGCTACTTAAAATATTCCCATTTAAATCCCTTTGAGGTGCTCCTCTATTAAAAAATTACTACCTTTATCTTTCTTAAACAATCTTTTCTTATTAAAGTTTTTCTAATTCTTGTAATTCTTTCTTTTTTTAATTTTATATATCGATTTAATACTAAAGCAATTTTGAATAATCTTATTAATTTTTTATTTTTTGACTTTAATTTATATTTTCTACAAAACCAGCTGATGGCTTTGAAACTGGATCGTCATAATTATTTGTGTTCTCTATTCTCGGAATATTATTTTAAGAATATATGTACTATTATAATGGTTAATATTGTTATTGTTGAGGTTAAAATAATTACTGTTATTATACTTATTGGATAGGAAATTACTATACTTAAGGCATTTGGGAATACTATACTAATGGTACTTGGGGATATTATACTAATGGAATATTATTGTTTATTGGATATTATTAAGGATATTGCATTTATGAAAATTAATTAAGGCCCATTTATCCGAATTGGGCCATATTTGATGAATTTTACATATTTTTATATTTTTTTTAATTAGAGTTTTATTAATATTTTTTATATTTTAAATTACTGAAAAATATATATTTATTAAAATATAACTATAAATAAATATATATATATATATATATATATATATATATATTAAATCGAAACTAAGAAAATAAAATTTAGACAATATCAGAAAAGTCATCATTATATACAAACATTAATATTGTGCCAACTGTATATTTAATAGCAAAGGTGTAGTCTGTATAGTACTACAATTTATCCTAATATGGGAACACATTAGTCTATCATCATTAAATATAGTAATATAAAAATTTTTAATAATAGGTAAAGTATATATAAGTAATGGTTTATGCATATAGTAGTAAATAAAAATGTTTATTAAGTATACTATCAAAATTATTAATGAAGTAACAGATAAGTATTACATAGAATTACATATATAGAGAAAAAAATAAAAAAATAAAATACAGAGTGGTACTATAAAAAACAACAAATAAATGGCATTAAAAAAATTAGCATGAAAATAAACATTAAAAAATTTAAAAAATGATTAAAATATATAAAATAATAAAAATAATATACAAAAATCTATATATAAATAATATAAATATATAAATTATATATATATATATATATATATAATATTTATATTTATTTAATTTATCATAAAACTAAAAACAAATATAAAATTATTCATTTTTTTTTTTTAATCACATCTGGTAGATTAAATTTACCATTATCAACTCCTGTTGCACTTAAAATTATTAAAACTATAATAACCAATACTATAGTACATATTAAGCAGATTAAAATTTTATCTGTTTATACCTATTTTGCAAAATACTTTACATATTTCAATGTCCTATTTAATGCTGTTTATGTATCCATTACAGTTCCTTTTATCTAATCCAACTTTTCTATTTATTAATCTAATTCCTGATTTATTTTATCAGCTAATTCTATATCTTATTACATTAAACCTTCTATTTCATTTAATTTCTGCAATCCTTTTTTTTTATAATAAGTTTATTTTTATATTTAAAAAATAAATAATTTACCTTTGTCCTGTATTTAATGACCATAATTAATTAATTAATCCTCTTTTTATTAAAAATAATTTTTTTTTTATACATAAAAAATAGCTTTTATTTACAATTCATGTTTTATGGATTATCTTATTAATTTTATAATTATTCTTTTCTTCCTTCAAATAGTTATTCGACTGCTTTTCCTTCATTTTTTTTAATTTCTAATTCCGTTTTTAATATTTAATGTCTTTTCTATAATTAACCTAGACTTTATTTATAAATCTATTCTTTATGCCTATCTAATTAACTTATTTCAAAATCATATGCTTCTAAATTATTATTTATATCTTTTAATGATAATTAACATTATTTTATTGCTATAATTCTTTTGTTCCCTTCCATTTTACTTATTTTATCTAATTATGATTAAAGCTTTTCTAATTGATTTGTAATTTGTTCTTCATAATCTTCTAATTAACTCATTTTTTTTTTGTTTTAAACAAAACTTTTTTTTTTTAAATATATAATATATATAATTTATGTATGTATAATTTTTATATATTTTATTAATTATTATTTATATATATTTTTTTGAACTTAATTTTAATAAGAAATCATTGATTTTATTAATATTTTAGAATAATCCTAACATTATATAAGAAAAACCTTATTTAATAAAAATGTTATGTATAAACATATAAAATAAAATCAATAAATTAATATATTACATAAAATAATAAAAATGATTTTAAATTTATTAATTTTATTAACATTATTATTTAATAAATTAATATATGCGTTGTAAACAACTCATACAGAAACATTCACACTTGAAAAAAATACGTATAAAGAGTTTACAAAATCAACAATTGAATTAGTTAAATAAGATTATTAAGACGGTACATTAGATTCGACATTATAATTTAATATTCTTTCAAATAAAAAACCATATAATTATGGAATATTAATGTTTAATGATACCAGCAATTTTTATTTTCCATAATATTTATATTCAGTATAAAATAATATATATTAAAATAAAGATAAATTCAACTGTATAAATTGTGAATAATGTTTAGACTAAAATAATAATAATTTAATTTTATTTTAACCATTAAAGGGTACTGGATTTGGTAAAAAAAAATAAAGTATTAAGTATTATTTTTATTTGAATAAAAAAAAAGTCTGCTGTAAAAATTGTAAATAAAATATTATTTTTGAGTTGATAAAAAGTTAAACTTCATTTAAGAATTTAAATGATAGATAAAAAGATATACCTCAAATAATAGTCTTAGATAATACATAATTTACTCAAGAAGATTAAGAATAAATATAAGATATTATAATTTAATAAACTTATTTTGTAAATATTTAGCCGACAGAGTTTTATTTTGCTGCTACAATTATTTTATGTGTTGTTTTTGGATTTATATTAATAATAGGATGTACTACAATATTTTATTTAAGATACTAATATAAATAAGCAATATAATAAGATATAATGAATAAATTTGTTGATGGAAATAATAAATAGAACTGAGAATAAATATATATAATTAAAAAATAAAATTATATATATCAATAAAATTATTTATTAGTAATTAAAAAAAAAAAAAAACATACAAATATTTTATTTTATTTTTTTCAAGAAAATATTTAATCTCTTAATTATTAATATTCTTAAACCATAATTTTATCCGGTTCATCTTCATCTCCTTTAAATTTACATAGGACCTTATCAAAATTCTCCTTTATTTTATTAAGTATTGCTTCATTTTATTTCCCTCCTTTTTTAAGAACTTAAGCCAAAATAGTAACACAAGCCAAATAACTATTTGAATAAGATCTATCTTATTATAATTTATTTTCTAATTAAGTTGCTATCTATGTAAGTTATTAAATTCCTTATTAACTTCTTCCTTTGTATAATTCCACAATTGCAAAGCTAACTTAAGTTTAAAAATGATTAGAATCAACAGGCTATTTTTTCTCTAATTCTTCCCATATTTCTTTTGATTTTGTTATACATTAGGAAGCATATTCTATTTGATTTTTTTATATATAACTCATTGACATCTTTTAAAGTAAAATAGCATATTATCTTTTTTATTTTTGATTTAATTCTTCAAATTTATCATATATTTCTTTAGCTTATTCATAATATTTTATGTTATCATCATTTGTATCTTTCTTTACACTCAATATATTACCTAATTATGTATAATTTCTGGCTAAAGCATCATATAAAACAGGATTATCAGGTTTTACTTATTATTCTAATATAGGAAGCATTTATGTTATTGCTTTTTTAGCTTCTTCAAATTTGCCATCAAAAAGTTCTCCTTGGCTTATATTTTCGGCTATTTTTGCTAAAATAACAAAATCTTCAGATCTGTAAGTCTCTAATTATTTTTTTAAATCATAAAGGACTTCTAAACCTTCTTTTGTTTTTTTTATTTAATTAAAATATTTCCAGTTTCTAAAACTTAATATGAAATATCAATTTGTTCTTTTTCTTTTAATTGAATTAATTCTATAAGAATTTCTTAGCATTTTTAATAGTTTTTTTAAGAAAATTATTCTTCGTAATTTTATTCCAATTCCTCTATTTTTAATAAAACTTCACTTTAAAATACTGGCAAATGGAAATTATATAATTGCTTTTATAATAAGAATTATTTTCTATATATGATTTTTGGATTTGATTGTATAACTCGAAACTTTTGGATTAGTTAATTTTATAATAAGTTACTTTTTAATAGATAATTTATAGAATTTTTAAACATACTTTTTTCAAAATTTATAAAGATATTTTTTATTTTTATAATAATTATTAAATTTTTGGATTTTTATTTATTTATATGTTAATATTAATTTATGCACTTAAAATAGTAATATATTTTTATTTTTTTCAAACATATAAAAAATATGTATGTTATGAATAATAAAAAGTCTATTTTAGTTAAACTTAAAAAAAATATTAAATATTTTAAATTATTAAATAATATTTATAATATTTATTTAATAAAATCTGTATTTTATTATTTATTAATACATATGTACTATATTTTATAATATAAAAATCTAACTATCTATTTAAATTTGTCTAAATTAAATTTATATTTATTTTATTAAAATTTATATTAATGATTTTCTATTAAAAATATATATATTATAATATAGCTTTATGATAAATATCAAAATTTCAATTATTTGTACATCAAAGTTATATCATAAATATTATAAAATAATAATGCTTTTAGATAATATTAATAAACTATTAGTTTATCAATTTTTAAATTTTATATATTTATTATAAAATAATTTGTAGATATTTTTTTTTATTTATAAAATAAAATTTATTAACCTTTTTTATTTTTATATTTTATTTTTAAATTTTTAAATATTAAAAAAAAAAAAAATTTCTTTAATATAATTATGTCTTATACTTAGTCATGTAATAAATTCGGCTTAAATAATATATATAATATATATTTTTTATTTTTAAAAGACTATTAAAAAAATACAGCATCATTAGACAGTGATAATCAATATAATTAATATTTAAAAAGCCCTGAATATGTTAGATATAAAATTGATAGTATATTTTTTTAAAAAAAAAAAAATGATAAAAAAATTAAAAAAAAAAAAATATAATTTAATAAAAAGCCTAAATATAAAGAAAGGTAATATGTTCACCAGAACCAGAAAGAGATAATCATATATATAGATCGCCTATTTTAGAAGAAAATTTAATAAATAAATATACTTATGGAACAAATTATAATGACGATTTTGGAAGTTAAATTAAATAATTAATAAATAAGTTTTTTTATTATAAAAAAAGAAAAAATAAATTATATAGGAGACTAAATAAGAAAATAAAATTTCTCATAATAAAATATAAAA